TTTCACGACCGTTGGAAGCTTTGATGACATCAAATGGTTTCACACTTCAGCAGCCAAAGAATGGCAAGTTGTGGAACGAGGCATTCTTGGTCCACCAGGTTCACCAAAAGCAAGCCAACAGATCAGAGTGTTGAATCGCATCATCACTTGGTCAAATGAAGGCATTTGGTGGGAACCAGATCCAAGACATGCAGAGTTGATCAAGTGGCTAGGCACTGGTCAACCAGGCAAGGTCAAGACACCTTTGGCCAAGCCAAGTCAAGAGGAACTCCAACACGAAGAAGTTCCGCTGAGTGCCGAAGATGCAACGATATATAGATCTATTGCTATGAGAGCCGCGTATTTGGCACAAGATCGACCTGATCTGCAAACTGCAACGCGCTGATTGGCACAAGGTCTACAGAACCCAACATCGAGGCACTGGAACATGCTGAAACGATTGGCTCGATATGTCAGGTATCGACCAAGAGTTGCACAGTTGTTTCCAAACCAAAGCACCTGCAACCCCTTCAACATGTGGTCAGACGCCGACCATGCAGGTTGCATAAGGACACGAAAGAGTGTGTCAGGAGGCGTGCTCATGGCCAACAAATGCTGGCTCACTACATACAGCAAAGGCCAAGGAGTTGTCTCCCTGAGCAGTGGCGAATCCGAGTACTACGGACTTGTTTCCGGAGCATGTCAAATGCTTGGAGTCGCATCAACTGCAAGAGACTGGGGATTGTTTCCCAGCAAAGAGGTGACAATGGACGCTTCCGCTGGCATCGCCATGGGAAACCGTCGAGGCTTGGGACGAGCTAAACATGTTGACACTCAGTACCACTGGGTACAAGAGCGCACGGCAAAGAAAGAGTTTCGTCTCAAGAAAGAAGGCACCGACCGAATGTTGGCCGATGTGCTAACGAAAGCTGTCACCGAGGAGAAAATGACTACAGCCATGAAAGGCATGAACTTCCACTACTTGGAAGGTGAGCATGAACTGACTTTGAAAGCGTGAACGGCTTGAGCTAGAGTAGGTACTTCTTCAAGACCAAGATGTACTGAAGGGCTACGAGCTAATTTACTGAAAGTGCTAATCCTGACTCGCTTAACTTCTGGGAGATGTTAAACTCGGGAGGCGTGATCAGATGTAGCACCAGTTACATGTACATGACATAGCTTGTATAGATGTATGTTTCACTGCAGCCGTTTTGTGTTCATTTCGCGACCAGAGCTCAGTCAAGCGTGAGCTAAAAGTGTGCCTAAGCTTCAACTACAACCTTTGGGACAGTGACTTGGGGTCACAGAGTTTAAGAGCCTAAATTCTCCGTTCATGATTAAGCCATGATTACCAAGTAATGGCCAGTATTCATTCTGGACAGTCGCCACCAACGAGGTGTGAACAATCTTTTGGCGTCATGTGGGCATGTGTGGGCGAACTTGTGGTTCTTCTTTTCATAGGGGGCATGACTTGGTATATTCTTCTATCATATTCTTCTCATCCAGCTCCCATGATGGAGTGATCGTGGGCTGGAATCTATTTTCCGCCCTTGTCGCCGCCCCAGTAGATTGTGGTTTGTCGAGGTTGTTTGACTCTTTAAGAACCAGCAGAAGTTCACCATTCGACATGTGTGAACTTGTGGAATTCTGATGGCATATGGAAAATGTTTTCTAGCACGCCTTGCCCACAAGGGAGTTTCAAGTTTTTGCTAGAACGCCTTGCGCTTCCCCTGCACGTGCTTATCGATCAGGATTCTGACGCCTAGAGGGGTCTGTTCTGGCACGCCTGGAACGAGATACACCTCAACTCAAATCAAACCGATACTTCACGTCCTACTTCACCTGAAAACGAGGACTTTCACCTGAAAAAAACCAGTGGTTAAGCTAGGGTTTTATTTTGGCCGAGCGATTGGTGGTGATCTCGAGGAAGTCACTCGTGGGGTCTATTTAATGAGCTTTGACCAGGCGCAGGAGCTCGTGAATCAGGTGCCATAGGTTGATTAAACGCATGGATGGCCTTGCCTGACGCTAGAAAGAGAGGGATTGAGAAACTCTTCTAATATGGAAGTGCTAGGTACAAGGCAAGTTTGTCGAATACTTTGCAATTGTCTTTGAATCCTCGGTGTTCTTCTTGCTTAAGAGACTCTCCTGACTTTTGTTTGAGTGTTTTGGTCCAGCAGCGGTGTGCGGTCGCAGCTGCCAGGGGCGAGCGCACACCTCCGATTTCATGTTGTTCTTGGGCTACTGCGGCTGGATTCACAACCAGCTGCAGGGAGAACTCAATGTGGGGGTTTGGAAGATGGTTCCTCGCTTTGGCTAGGCGAGTAGTTTTTTTTGTTTTAATTTTCTTTTGTTGGAGCTGACCTGAAATGAGGCGGAGAAAACGGTCTTATTACTCATATTGCTTCATTAAACAAGATGAAATTGCTTGGTTTCCGCTTCGAATTCCGATCGGATGCAGCATTACGCTCGGTTTGTGCTAGGCCGCTAGGGCTGGCACTACTGCTAGTAGCTGCAAAGTCGCTGCTGCAGACACCGCTCACACTTGCTTGCTCAGACACGCACGTCCACACACATACACACCCGCCCACGCACGCACGCACGCACGCATGCACACGCGCAGAGGCCCAAGAGGATGCTCCTATTGCCTATTGTTTTTTTGAGAGCGGGGGACTGTGGTAGTACACATTTTTTTTAAGATAAGTTTACCTCATTACATGGTTGCAATGATAGATTTTTTTCTACGATATCTTCTGTCAGTGATATTGTATAACACCCAGTACTTTACAATAGTCTATCAAAGGACCTATATGACAAGCCCTTTATGATTTATTTAAATTTATATACTATGTTTCTATATAATAAACTTAGAGTGCAGGGCACTGTGAGTGTGCACCTTTTTTTGTTTCTCATATGCGTCTACCTTGTGTCATGTGATAGACATGTAAATGAAGCACCTCAACTGGTGCATAACTATGCTTTGCTTTCTACATATTTATATCATGTAAGCATATTTTATCAATTTCTTCTTGCTTTGGTAACGTAAAGCAAGTGAGAGGTACTGTTTATACAAGTCGTATTTATGCTGTAGTTTATACATATATATACAAGCACTAAAAGTCCAATAAATGTTGATAATTCTGCAACATTGCTCCAATAAAACAACATGTTCTAATAGTAGTGTTGTTAGGATTGTTGTATTTTATACTAAAATTAGTAGCTGTGCAAACGAACAACTTGTAATTGTATCTCTGTTTGGGATCCAAAAATACAACCTCCAAAGAATCTTCATCAAATAACCATGTGACCATGTATATACATCGAATAACATTCTTGACATTTGTTGGTTCCATGCTTCTTTGGAGTTAGAGTTCATTATACCAATACAGACCATTTTTATGTCTATCTTTTTGTAGATGATAAAAAAAAGGAGGAATCTCTATTCAAGATATTTCTTGACGGTAAAGGGTTGAATTTAACAACATACCACATGTTTAACTGCTCTTTTGTCAGGCCTGTAGGGTCATTATGTACATAGTATGTCCATTGTTTTGATTCATCTACCACAAACTACTTCACAATATAAGTTGAATTTATTGAACATACTGTTTCATTGTTAACCCGTGCGCTGTCAAATTTGTTGCTATGTTTCCGTTATTCATATTCTATGTCAGGCTAAATCCGCAGTAATTACACGGTATTTAATTTTGGTTAATGAACCATTGAGTATCATTGTAGCCTTCTTTCCAACAAACACGTCAATGTCTAAGGGGCAGATCCTGAGACATTGACGGTTTTTAGTGACTATGTCACACAGACAGCAAATGCAAAGCGAATAGCCATGCTGAAGTCTCCTTACCAAAACCCAAAAAGGCAAACAAAACACAAAAGGCATAAAGACCAAACCAATGGACGTATGTGTAGCAAAAGCTATGGTTAATAGTTTTTGATTTTTTAGATTGTGGTTTTTGACACTGTCGCCAAATCCAAAAATTCCCCAAAAAATTAAACCCCATGGATTTTGGTGCAGTAAAGACTATTGGGTCAATAGTTTTGGATGTTTTTTTTTGGATTTGGAGACTGTGCAATCCAAAAAATCCAACCCAATGGATGTTGGTGCAGCAAAGGCTATTGGGTTAGTAGTGTTGGATTGTTTGAATCTTTTTGGATTGTGGTTTTTGACGGCAGTGCAGTGCAGAGATTCAGATATTATGATGATTGTAGTTGAGTGCAGTGCAGAAAATAAGACAAAATGAGAAAACACGTGTACTACAGTGGTCCCCTGTTCTGTTCTTTTTTGGGGGGGGATTGTGTGGAAGAGACAACTTGTGTTGAAGAGACAACTATTTCAAAGCCAGCAAGGCAAGCTGGCGAAGCGCAACGCGTGCTTTGATCACAGCCGTTTGGTGGCCTGAGGCATTGGTGAAGGAGTGCACTAGATCCGTGCTACTGTAGGCCACTTCCAGAGACAGCAATTAAGTGTATAAACTACGGACAAAGATAATTATGGGACAGTATGGCTCTTTGGGAAAGAAGGCTGCTAATTAGAAAATAGGTATTCACAAGATACATGTAACACGGTATTGTACATGAGCACTTGCTGCCTATATATGAAAGCCACCCCTTGGAGTTGCCATGATTTAGAGCCGGGATATTGATTCCAAAGCATTTTTGGGTCAGCTCAAAGGAACACGCTTTGTGAACGGTAAAGGTCCAAATAGCGGATGTAATCAGACAGCAATGACCCGCAATGGACAACAACGGATCCCACACTAAGCTGGCAGGTGGACCACAACAGATTTTGCACTCCACTCACTTCCGTGCTAGGGCCTAGAGTCAAGAACCACATAGAAACACCAAGATGTACATCGTACGTGTTAAAAACATGTCGAGAGATCGCGGCCTGTCAAGCCACACAAGTATGAGGCTGGTTTGCTATAGAGCTTCACCTCCAAATCCACGCCCGTCCACGCCTACCCACTCATCACCCACTCCTCCACCCCTCCGGGTTCGACTCCAAGGCTTCCGTCGACTCACGGAAACTGATCCGGGAGCTGCGGGAGGAAACCATGGAACTGCGGCGTTTGCCACAGCTGGGCTTGGACGACGGCATCGGGGTTTGGCGGCATTTGCACCTTGGCCGAGCTGGTCCCACCTGTGAACTGAAGGATTAGTTTTTCGGTTTGGTTGGATGCAACAGTCTGAGTCCAACAGGTGCGTTTTCCCTCCCTTGTGCTCTTCTTTTCACCCAGTTTGCTTGAGATCATCCTGGCTAGGGCCAGGGGTCCCGAGTCAAGACCTACGACCACGGTCCGTCCGGCTTGGAAGACCTGAGAGGAAAACCGAACAACTTAGGAATGAAATGGAATTGGAGGTAACGTATTTAGAGGATGTGAGTCTCACGCTATTGTCGGTCACTTTCACATACTTTCAATGGGCCTTTCACGAGAATTCTTATTTACATTGTGTGTTGAATGTGCATCACTGGCATCAGCACTTGCTTCGACCTGGAATGTTTGGATTCGGATCCTTTAGGTATGCGGTCGTGGACGAATCTGACCCCTACAACGATCCCTTCGACACCAACATGCTGGACACGAACAGCGTGGAGGGCGATGCCTTGGGTGACGCCATGCTTCGCCAGTGGGTGATCCAGAACCTCACGCCCTGACGCGGAAACCTGAGTGGTAGCAGAAATCTGCGCCAGGTTGAGGAGTCCAACACCAAGCCGGTTTTCAAGGGAACCCGCAAAGTATGGTGGGGGAAGATGATGTTTGCGAGGTTTGTTCCACCAAGGGAGTGGTCTGTCTAAGCAACATGGTCGACGAGAGGGCTCCCCAAAGCCTAAAACAACAGCAAAAATTGATCGGCCCAAAGTTTTCCAGGCATTTGGTTTACAAAGTTTACAAAGCCCAACAAGTTGTATATAAGTATATATAGATATATAGATTTGTATATAAGCAAATTGGAGGGTACAGTTTCATTCTTTGGATGAGGGAATGGGCAGTGGAGCCTGTTGTGCTACTTTCAGGGGTCGTGAGCAGTGAGAAAAGAAAGGGTGTTGCTTGCAGAAACTTGGCAGGATTTCTGGAGCAATTGAGCTGGCACAAGCCCGCGTGCAGCCTTTTCCCTGTCCAGAAGTGGAGGTGCTCATGCCCAAAAGTGGCAGTCCAGTGATTCGCATTGGCTCAAACTAGTAGCTTGTGAAGGGCTATTAGTCGGTTTATGTGTCCCTGCCATCTTAGCGACAGGTTGTACAAAGTGCTTGGTGCATGTGAGGAGCATGCATAAGTGAGTATCGAGCATGTGTCAAAACCGACCTGGAGAACCCAGCTGCGCACAGATGCTTTGTGTAGTCGAAAGTCCCAAATGATGTGCAGAATGCCCTCCAACACAGATCACAGATCAATGCTTCGTTTTGGTTGTGTTTTGATGCGTTTTAGTTGGGATTTTCACCACCGTCTTTACCTTCGCCACATCCCGGGTCGTAGCCTTCACATGTCATGACTGAGTGGCTCACTGCTAGCTGGGGGCTACTGAAACGAGTGAGGCCGGAAAACAATGCCATCAGTAAAGCCACTCGTGGCATTGCTCCCCCCCAGAGTGTGAAAACGCGGTGTTAAGGACGCTACTAGGGGCTCCTGGCCTTACTACTATAGGAGCAAGGACGCTACTAGGGGGGTCCAAGTCTTTACTGAGTGTGTCTGGTTGTGAACCCGAGGCGTGCTGGGAGTTTACCTGCGGGCTCTCGGGCGGCTTGGTGGGAGAGGGGTGCAGGGACAAGCCTCAGAAGGCCCAGCTTCCTGTGAATCGGCCCAAAATGGTTAGGTTCTGTGAGGTGTTTGTATTTTCTTGAGCCCGCTGCGAGGTCCGGACAAATATTATCAGGAAATGATGGTAAACTAACTAGCCAAAATGAAGCTTCAGCATGCTTCGGCCAGTTGCTTGGTACTGGTAGGCGGATGAGGTAGGGGACATTGTAGATTCAATCTTATACCGATGCATGATTACACGATTTCTCATTCCCTGGGTATTCTAGGCTGAATCTGACCGAATTCATGCATTCTTCTTCCAGGAGTCAGTTGGTTCGCTGCGTGGAACATGGAAGCTTTTCAAACGAAATTGAAGCGAACAAATCGTCCGTTCGAAGGGGCACGCCCGTGACGGATTTGACTTGGATCGATCCTCAGCACGAATAGGCCACGATTTGAAACAGATTTGATCATCGAACTCGAATAGATGCTGTCTACAGGTCTACACTGCACGCAACCTGGAAGATCCTGGAAGTGGCCCAATGTACGCTGTAACAACTGGCTGACAGGATGGAGAGAATAATCCCCTCTCTTTACACCTTACAGGGGAAAACACACTCCGCAGGTGTCAGCTTTCTTAATCGCCCACGTATTTTTGAAGCTGCAGATCCTAGATGATGTTTGAATATGTTTGATATTGATCCACGTTCGCCTTTGCTTTTCTGAAGGGAAGGCACCAGAAGATGCCAGAAGTGCTTTATTCCAGGACTTCCTGAAACGTGTCGAACACCGGTGCCGAACACCCGGGCGCTGTTCCCACCGTCAACCCGGTCGACGCCATGGCCGGCGATGTCCTCGCTACAGTGCGGAGGGACGGGCTGAGGGATGTGCCCTGGCGTTAAGAGAATGGGACGTCCGAGGTGGTCGGCCAAGTCACTCTCGCTCCAAGTTTTGTACTACATGTGTGTATACATAATTGCCGGACTGTAACGACTGTAGATAAGTAATTAAAACGATGTATACACACATGCATATATATATATATATACTGTGTATATTAATATCTATTATCATGGCCTATGGGAGATGACATCTCTGGAAACTGGCAGTGTTTGACGTCCGTGATTGGATGGAGTGGAACCCTTTTAGTCAAAAGTTTTTACTGTTGCGGTGTGTTTTGTTGGCCCTCCCCCGGATGACACACCAGGCTCAGAAAACGCTTTGCTCAGGGGATAGGCGCCAAGGGATGACTTCCAAAGTCCAAGCCTGATCCTTGAGGGCCTTTGTGGCAGCTTTCGACTGGTGCTTGGCATGTTTTCTTGATGTCAGAGAACGAGTCGATGTTTTGCTTCACTCCCGAGGGCGGATAACATGTTCAATCTCAACCTCAATATGATCTAGGACCATCTAGGACCTATTTGTCACAGCAAGTGCCCAGCCCAAACCCTGCACCCGCAGCTGCTGGCCACGGCCTCGCCATTTTCACAGCCAATATTCAATACTCGGTCGAAAGTTTTGGCACTCTCATTCCCCCCATAGGCACCTTGCCCATTGCCTGGCAAGGGTTGGGAGAACAACGGAAAAAAAACAGGTTCAAGGCAGGCAGCTTCATGTCGCCATGTGATACGTGAGGCTGTTATTTTGCTATACAGTGGCAGTGTCCTAAAGGTTCCGACACCATGAAGCAGTATTAATAAGAGGCCCTGAAAGATAAAAAAGGGTCCTTGGCAAAACTCTGTGGCAAAAACAGCTCAAAGATGCTCAAAGAGGTGTTTTTCAAAGCCATAAAGGGCCATAAAGCCATAGGCACCACCATTCTCTCAAAGCCCATCACTTCTCTCAAAGCCAATTCGACAAAGCATAGCCTTGTGCCCTCGCTGAGCGAGCGAGTCATGTTCGGACCGAGGCCCTGTAGCATCAAGCTGAGGCTGCATCAGGCGCGCGGCCTGCGGCCTGATCGAGATGAGGCCCGCGAGTCATGTTCGGACCGGGTCCAAAAAGACGGACCGGGTCCAAATAGACGGGTTGCACATGGTTGCACTCATATTGGATCAGAAGGAAGATCTAAAGGAAACCAGGATGAAAACGATTCCAAACGATTCCTTTCCTGTAGACCAATTCTGGATGCACTGGTGATTCAGATGAAACATGGGTGAATAATTAGGAGGTCCATTTCTGATGTTCAGAAATGCACCTGTGTGGACACTCAAAGGCAAATTTCATGGTTTTGGAGGGATACGCTAGGCATGGTGTTTGTTGACGACTTTCTCGGACAGCTTGCTGTCCGTGTGACCGTCAGGCAGCAAAGAACTACTTGTCGCCTTGATCTCTACCTCTAAATGCAAGACCAGCCAATTAATCAATTAATCAAAGATCAAAAAGATACAACATCGTATCATCGTCATCATCCATTCTCAGTGGTTCCTTTCTCCATTCCTCCACCATGGTACGTCCAGTGCCAGGATGGGAAGTACGTGGAAGTCTCCTTCAACGATCACATCCGCATGTCACCTAAGAGCACAGGCTCCCCTGAGAACCCAGCGCCGAGCTCGGTTTTCGTGAGCGTAACGCAGCATGACGGCGGTCCAGGCGTAGGTTTTGGGACACGTTTCGCGGTCCGCGTTGTTTCAAGGCCCGTCTCACCCGTCACCAGGTGGATGTGAAATTATTTGAATTATAGGGAACCCCCCCTGGCCTTGGCTGGGTAGACTGGTCGATTTCCCGCTCGAGGTTTGGGGTGATTCGGTGATGTCCATCGAGCTCACGGACGCCCCTCGGACTATATATATATATTTGCCGTGGGCGCGCCCATCAGAGCGCTGCTTTCAGAGCAGCGTGTGGTTGTTTGGAGCTTGGAATGGCACCCCAACGTTTGTAGAATCTGGTGCCAGTGGTGAAAAAGGTAGATGGCAGTGGCACTGGCACCCCAAAATGGTTTTCAGATGGGGGTCCATATAATACCTCCTTTTGGAAGCTTTTGGGGATTGTGCCATCTACTCTGAAATCATATATGTATATATCATTATATGTGTATATATATATATATAGTTTTTTTTTGTAGTTCGAGGGGATTGATCATGAACCCTTGGATGGTTCCATCGTTTTACATGCACCACTCAGAGAGTGCACGGTTGAACAGGCTGATTGGGGACAGCTGTCACAGCTGTCAGCCTTTGGCATGGCGCAGCTGGTTCCGGTCCAGGTCGACCTGGTGCCCCCACCGTCTTACACCCAATAACTTGGAGGGCATGAAGGATCAGGATCTGAGTTTGAGGATTGGATCATTCGATCATTCTGGCGCGTTGAGGGTTGTCGAATAGTTTGGCAAGTATCGGTATTAAGTTTGAATCATCAAAGTTTCATAAGGTTTCTTGAATGAATGTGTGGCTTGCCAATTCTTGCCGTTTTGGGCTTGCCCGTTTGCAGTGAGATACGGCCTGCCGTGCCGCGCGGCAGGCCGGACCAGGTACCAACCAATTGGCCAGACCAGGTACCAGCTGGTGTGTGGAACTGATTGGTTTACATGACGTCTTCTCGGATTTTGTACTCCTCACGGAATATAGGCATTTTTAGACCGATTTTTCCTGCAAGTGGCATGTGACTGTTTTTTGCATGGACGATTGATCATGGATGTGGCCATGTTGGATGGACGACTGCCCAGGATTTTCAGCTCCAAGACTATCCTTTGCGGCTTGGAGTCTGTAGCAACGAGACAGGACGGGAGCCATGTCTTGGAGGTCAAGAAGGTCACCACATTGGCATAGTTGGCGAAGCTCATTTCCTTTATAGGCTCTCTTGGGGCCTGGATTGATACTGTTTTGGAACACTTGTTGTTAACGGCTAACGGTATATTCTATGTCTGTTGCCTTCGGGAATTGCACTTGCAGGGGTTGGCTTGCTGGGCCGAGCATGTTATTTTTGCAGATATGTAACATGTACTGTAATTTTCCACACTAGCGGCTGCATGTGTCACAGAAATGTCACAGAAAGAGTATGGCAACCAGAATGTAGAGAGATTCCATTTTTCCAAATGGCCCTGGGACAGTGCATTTGTACTGCATGTTTGCTGGAATTCTGGGAGGTGGTTGTTGTTGGTTTGTTTGTTTGGACGGTGCTCTTGGGATTGATAAGCAGACCTTTGACTGTTGGCAGGACAAACGGTTTTTTGTTTTAGCATTGCATTTCCTTGGAGTTGATTTTCATGGACGGGGGTTGCCAATTCCTGGGATTGAGAGAAGAAGTGCGGAAGAAATGCAACTGCAAGCCTTCCAGAATCTCAACTTGTACCCGGCCAACGAACACCACAGGCGTTGCTTGAATGAGAACAGTCACCCTCTCCAAGAACAGTGCACATGGAAGTGGAAACCATGGAAAAACAACATGGAACCTTTGGGTTTGACCCTGGGTTCCTCCACCACCCTGGGTTCCTCCACCACAAGTGGGTGATTTTCCACTTCCATGTCTTTAAAATGGTGCTTTGATGCCGCCCCCCCCGCACCACCCAACACCATCTCGCTCGCTGTACTTCGCAGGGCCCCCTGACTGCGGCTTTGTCATGATCAACCTGGAGCAAATCTTGCACAGTCGACCAGAGATGGACCCCGATGCGGCTCGGCCGCGGACCAGACGCGGTGTGACCAGACCGGCGTGGACTGGGGCGGTGAGCCGCCAGACGCTTGGGAAGTGGCAAGCCTCTCAATTTGGAGGACGGACCCGGGACGATTTGTGTGTATTTTGGTGTTATAATGATAAACCATGTACTGTATGTGCGATTGTATGTGCATTTATGTATATAAAGTTATGTATACACGTAGTATGCATTTGCATTTCGTTACATTAATATATGTAATATATAATATTACAATGATGTGTTTCCTGGCATGTTCATGCGCAATTGGACGTAGGTTCCTTTCCCACAACTCTTTTTGCCGGTGCGTTTGTGTGCCTTCCCGACCTGCCAAGGAAGCCGTCAGCATGAAAGGCACCAAAGCTTGGCGCTGGTGTCGATCGGGGCGGCCATGCGGCAAACAACTAGCAAACAAAAGCCAACAACGCGTGATTCGCGCTGTAGGCTGTAGTCTGTGGCCAGACACAGACTATCGTCTTCAGGATCAGGCATGTTAAAGGGCCTAGAGGGCAAAAAAATGTTCAGCCTTGCCGTAACAAGAAGGAAGCCTCACTGCTTACCAGGACCATCCTAGTCCAAGTGGTCCTGGTGGTCCAGCCAGGAGACCCAGGATGGTCCAATGGCACAATGGTCCAGGTACGTTTCGGTTTGTTTGACACATTGGGTGGATCCACCGCTGATTTGTGTTCCCCAAAGCCCTGGATAAGTGACGTGGGTGCTTGTTCTTTGGATGTATTTTGGATGGTTCCCACATTTCAACCAACCAAAAGGATCCCGGCAAGAGACCTCAAATGTTCAGTGTTGTTCTGTTAGAATCAAAAAGCAAAGGGTGAACAAACGCGAAACGTACAGCTTGGAGCTCAAACAGTATTCCACCTGGGTGAAGCCAGCCGGGCACCCACATCGGAACCCAAAGCACACATATATGAGAGCAAACAATCACATGAGAGCACACATATGTGAGAGCACACATTGAGGCGCCGTGTTCGAACAGAGGAATGTCAACCCACCCCCAAAAAAAAAAGAAGAGGATGGCTCAGGACGTCGGACATAGACACGGAATGACACATGCTGAAGCAGAGTGATGTTAGTCTTCCCCATCGTTAGCATGATGTTAGGCCACACGTCCTGGTTATGACGGAACGCACAAACAACTGATCAGTTCGACTTGTGGCACCCGTAGGGCTAAGCTTGGCAAATGGTTGAACCTGACTAGCTGAAAGGGATTCCAAACATGAATTTGGCCTGAGATCAGGGTGTTTTGTTTAAAAAAACACGTGCAAACTTGATACAGGGGATCACCTGAAATCCCAGAAGCTCACCCTCCATCCCTCAGATCAACGTCCTTGTTTGCAGGCTGGTTCCCCTTGTTTGACACCATGACCGGTGTCCGGGGCCGGATCTTGGCGACTTAGCCAACAGACCGTGGTGGGTCGAACCGTGGTGACGCCACATGTCGCGATCGATGACATGTCGCGATCCACACCCAAAGAGTGCATTCAGGTGCAGACTGGGGGGGGGAAATCCGTTGATCCAGGTGTTTTTTCCCCACATGTGCACGTGCGCAATGCCACCTAGCCTTCAATTCCCGTATACTCCTGAACTCTGAACGGGAGTTTGACATCAGTTTGCTCACGTTTCGCCGTTTTGCAAAATCTTTAGGTCTGAGAGTGAGACATCGCGAGACCAGATAGCGCCTTGTGAGTAAGGTCTCGATCAAGATGCAGTTCGTGGGTGATCAGTCCTACAATGACCGTGCCTGCCTTGGAGCCAGTCGGGATGTTCAGGGTGATTTGCGCGCACCACTGGTTCTCCCACATGAACACCTTGCACCCACAACTCCCAGCAGCTACTTGAACTTCGCTAGAAGGTTCTGAGACCACCTGTGGCGGTTCAGAAAGCACCTGTCGGGAGGTCCTAGAACCTCATGTTTACCTCGAGAGATGTTCTCCCGGACTCCTCATTCTTGTGAATTCAGCTGGGAGGTCCCTGAGGCGTTTGGAACGGCCAACCCTGGAGGCGTTTGGCAGGTCCTTCCTAGGCCACGGAACGGCCACGGAACGGCTGCCACAGAACGGCCTGACCTTTAGTGTTGACCGCCAAGTGGCCAAACCTGAAGGGGTTTAAAGCTCTGAAGACTCTGAAAAACAAGGTGCAACACATCGCCATGTCCTCCAAACTTTGCTCATCAGTCTTGGGTGATTGATGTTTCATCAGACTCTGCTCATCAGTCTATCAAGACTGAAATCAAGAAATTGATGTTTCAGTCTTGGGTGATTTGGACATATCCTGACCTGGAGAGGGCATCGCTATGGCAAGAGCCCATGAATCTTGACCCACTGACCAGTCCGGACGGATCTATAGGGGTTTTAGATATTCCATGATATTCCCATTCCTTCTGCCAGACCAGATATGACTGGATGACTTCGGCAGGTATCTTACCCACAAAAGATCTCCCAAAACGCATCCAAATGCATTAACCTGTCTAACCAGATGTGTGACCAAAAACGAGGCTTCGCCCCGTCTAACGGCGTTCCGCTGCACGAGGCTTCGCCTCATCTGTGGGCGTTCGCTTCTTCTCCATCGCCACACCGCCCCAGTGCGGGCCGCCCGGGTCGCGCCAAGACGGGATTTTTCGAGAGCAGTGTACAAAAGCAATAGGTGTAGGTAGATCATGGTAGACCTACACCCTTTGTCCAACAATTATGGAAGTGAACAATCCCCTGTTAGGGGCCGTGCCATCCACTTCCATGTTTGTTGGAGGGAGGATATATATGAGAGTCGACCGAAACTCCCGAAACAGAAATTTTGACCAAACGCAGATGTGAGAATCAGACCTTGCATTGTTCATGTGTTTTTCTGTGGTGCAGGCAAGCAGGCGCAAGGGCGGGCGCAAGGTTCATTATGTAGATTATTTGTAGATTGATATGCAGGTGCATTGATATAATGGGACAACCTTGGAACGTCTATCATTTCGTAGCTGTTTGGCAAAGGCTCAGGTTGGATTGTAGCTATGTGGCAGGTAGAAGAACATGTCCTCAATGGAGTTGCGTGGAAGACCTACCAATATGTAGGTGATGGGTTGAAGTCAAATAAACTCAAAGCTGGAGGCAAGCTTTTGAATGGAGTGAAAATAACAGTGTGGCTTGCACCCGAGTCGAAAAAAGAAAGAGGGAAGCGAGCCAGAAAGAAAAGTCCAAGGAGAAGAAGGGTATTTTCCTCAATTTCCTTGAGGTATTGTTTGTGCCGTGAAATGCCAGCATATCGTTTCCTATTTTTCCTCAAGTTACCTCAAGGTCAGCGCAAGCGAACGGAGCAAGGCTGGCGATGCCAAGGGACCCATGGCCCACGTGACTGGAGAACTTCGAGAAGTGGAAGCTGCGTAAACCAATCAGAAAACCAAAGGAGCAGGCCCCAGGCACCGATAGAAGGAAGCCCCACTATCCTGAGATGTCTTGTTTGTCGACAGAACTGAGGGAAAGCTTCACTATCCTTCTTTTGAACATGTGTTTGGATGATCGCCTGGAGACGTGTTTTTTTCCAATCGCGAAAATGGGACAGACAAGCTTGGTGAAATTGATGCCCGGATGCGAAATTATCATACCACCAAGAAAATATTTATAAAGTAGCCTGCCAGGCTTCGAGCATCACCATTGTCAGACAACTGCCGGCTAATTAACCAAACAGATAATCTCAAAAATAAACAAAACATGTGGGGAGCGCAAGCAGGCGCAAGGGCGAACTCAAGGGGTTTTTGATATTATGGTGATTGGAACTTAGGTTTTGGCAACCCCCATATCTGAATTCAATTTGATTCATACTCTGGAAAGGCGTATGAACATACTTGTGTGCGAAAGCAATATTTTTTAAAAATTGCTCATATAGAATCATATAGATACACATAAACATGTTTCTTAAAGAACCAGCGTTTGTAGCCGTATGGACAACAAAATGCATACCGTACCTGTATGAAACCCAAATGCTATCAACATGTTAGTCGATAAAAAACAAGCACGGGTATTAATTCAAACATATCCGTCAAACCCAATGTGGACCCAAACGCACAGACCCTTCGATGATTCCGATTCGAGAAGAGATAGCGCTGCCGATTTGTGAGGGGCGAGTTGTGCCATGGAGGTTCAAACTCGAACTGAGGGGGGGGTGATTTGAGCTCAAGAAAACATGTAATATACATTATGGCAACCCCCCCGGTCAGTGTGTTTTAACAGTGTTATGAGTTGTCAAGGGCATTTTAATTTTGATTGGCAAAGGAGCATCATAAGATGTTTCTTGTGCTGTTTTTAGCACCTGCATGCAATGCCAGAAACTGAACAAAAGAACGGGCAGATGCAGAACTGTTGGAAAACAATTCGATTTTGTACCAGACCCCAGACACGTTCACTTATTGTCGATAGAGGAAACACCCTTCAAAAGGAAGACAGGACAACTGTGAGCAACTATAAAAACCAAAGTGAAAACGCCTGGCATACCCCTTTCCTGGCCTCTACACTGGGAAAGGAGGGAGAGGAGGGAGAGGAGGGAGAGGAGGGAGAGGGGTGAGGAGGGGGCCAAACAAATGTAGTTACAAGTCACACAGTCACACAAAGAGGTAGCTCCTCACACAGTTCTACTACCGTAGTCTCGGAGCTCGTCTTGCTGTCCAAGAAAGACGGAACCCTGTACAACTCAGGGACTTGGGAATTCCAAGGCCAGGCGTCTTCATGGTTGAACAGTTGCTGGGCTTGGTGGAAGAGCTACGAGTGGTGCAGGACCGCCCCCACGCGATGTGTGAGACCCAGTCAATGGCCTTCTCAGGGCCGAGACGCCCCAGACCGAGACGTGTTCCCTCAGACCGAAGTGGACGATCCCCTGTTTGTAGAGTAGAGGTTTTCATGGTGTTTTTTTCCATGTCTTTCCAGGGGCCGGTAAAAGTTCACTTCCATGATTGCTTCAGGGAGGCGGCTATCCATGGCATCAAGCATCACAAACAATTTGGAAGGAGAGGAAACGCGTTTCTTCACCATTCTTCACCTAGTTCTTCACCTCTTCACTCTGCAGCCTTCTCGACCTTGGTCCAACTGCACCACAAACGCCGAACACGCGGCGACCTGTGCCAGGACCCGGAGTACAACTGGCGGGACCTCATTCGTTCGGACCGGTCCTCCAACGAAGAACGTCTCAGGCCGCGGAACGGACCCGCATAGCGGCGGAACGGAACGCGCGGGATGGTCAAGCACGGTCCTCTAGTGCAGTGGTGAGGAGTTGGATGAATTTGGTCAAACTAAATCAAACAAGAAAAGATTCCATCAATTGAATTTCAATGCCATAAACGTCGTGTGTGAACAAGGCAAAACGCTTTGCCGGGACCTTGCGTCGTGCCCAGGGTCTTCCACAATGCCGCCATGCGTGCGCGCCGGGAGTTGGGCAAACAGGCCGCGTCGGCGAGTCCATCGCGCGGCTCCACATCTCCGTCACCGCTTCAGGGCGCTCCAGGGCGTTTGGCGTGTTGTCGACAGAAGCTTTCCGAAGGCTGTTGATTCACAAGCCCCAGCATAAATGGAGATGTCCCACCTGGAAATGGGCCCACTCTGCCCTAGGCTCGCCTTAGCCGCTAGCCAATTGGCTAAACTCTCGGAGAGGGTCAGAGAGAGAGAGAGAGATGGAGATGTAAAACCATTGTGGATTTGTTGTGAATTTACAGTACTTACTTATAGTCTAGACACATATCAGCCAGCCACTGGCTGATCAGACTAGATGGAGGGCAAAACCTACCTCATTCAACTCCCTATTGCCTGCAGCCAAACATGTGGGATGCCATCAATCCAACGACAGTTGCCCATGGCACAACCAAAACCACCGACTCTTACAGTGACTATGGCACCAAAACTAACCATGGAACCTGCGAACCTCAGGCGCCTCAGGTGTCATTTACCTTTTGATAAATACTGCAGTTGCACCTGGTTCTTGCAGGACCTGCAGGCGGGTTCGAAACGGAGTCCCAGATTCCCCGACTGTTCACTCCTCCAACTTACGGACAGGTGAAACAGAGGTTCGATGGCACGTGTTTTGGGCCCCCGTTTCGTCGGTGGTTGATATAGAATGGAGTCCCAAGACATCCCAAGACCATGTGGGTGCCAGTGCTATTTCTCACCTATGATGGCCGGCCAACCCGGATCCACCGCCGATGCGAACGGTGATTCCGAGCATGCCAGGTGCAGCGCTTGGGCGCCAACGTGGACGCCCCAGTTGCTGTGGTTTTCAGGATGTCACTCTCCTTGGAACAAGTCTAAGTACTAATATGGAAGTGGCGTTTCACCACCTGTTTGGTATTCGGAAGATGGTCTTTTGAAAGAGACCATGCCCTCCACGTAACCATGCTAGTTCCAGGGAGTGTTGATTGGTTTTCGCATGGCTCTCGTTCTTTGGAGCCTGGGGGTTCTTGTGCACCCAAAATGAGATGGGCACAATGGACACATATAGTTGCCCAACCTGACAGGTGTTCGTGTCCTTCACCCCCGTTGCCATGTAAATAAAGCCCCTGTCCAAACTAGGTGCAGAGGATGGGTCTATCGTAGCAGCTGCAAGGTATGTTGGACTTGACTTAAGGCATGTGAACCGCTGAAGGCCTCAGAGGAGCCTTTGGAGAAGAGGATCTTCCTGATCCTAATCTTCCAAAAAGAGAACCTCCCCCCGAAAACACGAGTTGCCCTTGTTGCCTTTGGAACCTTTGATCCAGCTTAAGATGTCGACACCCAGATGCCAAAGCTGCTGGTGTACAGAAACGACGCACAGTACGACGCAGTTCATGGATTTCCTCACGGATGCGGACACATTGGGCTATCAGATGCTATCAGTTTTCCGAACACAGACACCATCAGACACAGAGCCAGGCTGTGTTGGGCTATCGGGAGTATGTGGACTTGGAGGGCGACGTGAGGGGGCCCGGACGAGGGTGCGGTATTTTTGGACACAAAATTCGAAACACATCGTTCAGATTGCTTATAGAAGAGCAAATGACCATATGGATGTATCAGTGTATCAGATCAGATGCGTTTTGTGATGTGTTTTGCACTTCCAAAACGGCAATTTATGTACAGGGAACTTTGACTGACTGTGATAAGAGGGAGCTATCACGAAAAGTAATTCCTTCTGGTGAGAACGCTCAACACTACAATACTGCAGACCGCAGACCCATGTCTATATGTAGGGGACCTCTTTTTACAAGCACAGCGGTTGATGCTGTTTCTTTAAGACCTTTAGATCAATATGCAACCATCATGTGCACAACTACTGTACCGCATTCATCGCAAAAGAATGGCATTTCAATGGGGCAATGTACCAGATTGAAGCAGGTTGACTGATGGTGAGCACACAGATACAATGGACCCACATGGTCTCCGTCGGTTGCGCATACGTCGCATGAAAAGGAAAATCACTGTTCTTCAGCCAGCATGGGTTCAGGCCTTCTTTCGCTCGAATGGTGTAAAACAACAAGAGGAGCTGGTGAGTACATTACACACTCACGGAGCAAACCGTATGCAATATGTCATGTTTCATAGAATGTCGAATGAGAGAACACATTGAACATCAACAACGATCATTGCTTTCTGGCCCTCAACTTCAGGACATGCAGGGCACGCCTCTATCGAACCGCGAACATGATCGCCGACCACCCTCCCACCCCGCCGAGGCCACGGATCGGATTTGTATCCGAGCCTTTGGCACCGCTGCGTGCCGCACTCATCGCTCGCGCGATGGAAGACACATGGACCCTGAGGAGAGGGTGAGGGAGGTAGAAGCGTAGATATTCGCACACTTCCGGTTGCTGAAGCTGGCTTCAATCCTGTTCTATTGGACCCTCCACACCTACATAACAGTGTCGAACACATCACCTTCTGAGAAGGTGTTTGGATCCCTAGGGATTAGTAAGCTAGTCCTGCTTTGGTAGGACATCGGCTGAAATCTAGGTGCTGGTCCTGGTCCTCCCACCTTCGCTGTGGAGTTCGCTTCGTGCTGTGTCCCTGATTCACCGTGAATTGGTGTGTTGTTTGTTAACACCTGGACCGACGTTGCTCGCCGGTGTGCAGAGAAGACCACCGAAGATCACAGAATATGTTTGTTGATCCATAAGAATCCTGGCCCAAGGATTTTGAGGGTTTGGACCCCCGCTATGGGGGGTCCGACCCACGCTTTGGAGGGTGATCCTGACAAGACGGATCTTTTGGTGTGTTCGACTTACAAACCGGTTCACAAACGTTTTCAGAGCGTCCACTACTTCACCTTAGGCCTGTCTCAGAGCGTTTTCCGGGAGTGATGTGGGGTGTGAGGCCAGCCAGTAAGGTCTGAAAGTCATCCATCTTCAAAGGTGTTTCACTATTCTATCTATTTGGTTATACTATATATAGAGAGAGAGGGAGAGTCTAGAGAAGCTGAAGAAACGAACTCATTTGCTCCCGGGCTTTGCAACTGTGGACGTGCGAAAACTTCCCCTTTACAATGGCGAGATGTCCCCATCAAGTAATAAGCAACTGGAGACGATAGCTAGGACTAGCTAGGGAGTTGGCATCCGATCGAGATCTTCCACTGATGCGCGTGACTGAAACGAACTGCAGAGCAATTCCTGAACGTGTTTCTCCAGTGTTCTCCAAGAAGATTCATCATGTTTGGTTTCTTTGACGCGTCTCTGGTTTGTTTTTTCCCCTGCTGCTTTAAAGGTGTTCTGTACTGTAGCCATGCAAGCAAGGTTCATATCGTTTGATTGACCATGTTTCACCACTTTGGGCAGGCACCGGCCCCAGGATGATTGACACAGAGATACATCAATGACATGTCCTGACAATCACGGGATCCAAGAGAGGTTGAGAGACCTGACCTGGGACTCGAACTAGTGGTACACATGGGATAGGCAACAAAGGGTGTTCAACCTCTAGGATGTGCAGATCTTCTGTGAACATGGGCATTCTGCGTGAAATTCCCAGCGCAAGGTAAAGCTCCACTTCGACAGGTAAAACACATCCATTTGCGATGCACAAAAGAACAGCGAATAGCTAGGGCCCGCACGAACTCCCAGCCATGGCAGTGTCATACCAGATTCTGGCGGGGACACTGGCTGTGCTGATGACTTTAGCCGTCATCGGTTTGTTTACTGGAATCATTTGCATATCGCGGGGGGGAAGACCCCACGACGGTGAGCATAGCTTTTCCAGGGCAACTGTTGAGGTGAATGTGGAGTCTACTCAGGTGGGCGAGTGTGCCATTTGCCTGGATGCAATTGCAGCGGAGGATGACATCAAACAGCTTCAATGCCAAGACCGCTTCCATGCGTCATGCTTGAGCAGATGGTACCGCAGCCAAGGATGTGGGGAGTTGCTTTTCTGTCCAGTGTGTGAGAGGCCATCGCGTGTGTACACCGACCAAGTTGGCTCAAGTGAGTCAAGGGACCTGTGATTGGCAAGCTTCCAAGAAGTGCCTTTTGTTTACAGGTGCGCATGGGGTTGAGTGATGCATATAGTGATGCTAGATCCAGCTGGCTTTGGTAGATGCTGCTGTAGCAGCTAGATTTAGATGCCATGTACATCCACCTGGGTGGCAACAGTCAGTACAGACTTTGGTGGCTTGCTGTGTTTGCCGCAGCCACCATGTCCACAGGGACATGCTACGCATGAGGTGCGGTTGCAGATTACCCGGGACAGCAAAAAGTGCTGCCGACCTGGTCGGTCGCTTCTTCGCCCGGACCAACTATAGATGATCCCCCTTTCAATAGGGAAGGGAAGGTGCTCAAATCCCCACGTGCGGCTGAGATATTTTCTATACTGTGTATGTCGGGCAGTTGGCCTTTGCCTTTGCCCTGTGTGTTTGTGTTTCTTTGTGTTTGCATGGATGGGTGGGCCATGGTGGGCCCCTCCCGTTGGGTGGCCATTTTGGACCCAAGCTGCCCGAACCTGAGGCGCATCACCCCATCGATGGCTCCAACGCCCATGGGCTTGGTCCACCAGAGCAGCTACGAAGTCTCCCGTCAGGCCGGTGACCTCGACAGAAGTCGCGTGCAGGGGAGATGGATGAAAGGAGATGGATGGAGAAAGGATGAGAAAGGTGATTGAAGTTGCTGGGAAGTGTGAGCAGTGAGGGGTGAGATGAAGTTGCCACCCCATGTCAGAGAAAAAGCCAGGAAGTGTTCTGACAGGGATGACACTTTGGCCAATAGATGTACGGCGCTCGTGAATTTACAAGCTGTGATCCAGTCTTGCCCTGACAGCCTCAGGGCAGCCGATCCCCTGTGCGGCGAGCGGAGGGTGAGTTTGGCTTGCCCATGTTGTCACTCCTGCCGGCGAACTCAGGCCGGCCGGACAGAGGGACTTGACATGGTGTGAAGGCGGCGCGTGTCTACTTGCCTTCCACGCCGTTCGTCTTTCCCCTTCAGTTCGTGTGGACACACGAAGAGTGGGGTTCTGAAATGGCTACAGTAAGGGTTAAGGCTTCACCGGCTGGGTGCCGGTTTGATCTGAGTGGCTGGTGATGGAGATGAACATGACGAGGACGATGAGGAATTGGTGTTCGGGTGAGGAGGGCGGCTGCCACAAGACAATGCTGTTTTGCATCTAGAGTTGTATGGAGTCTTGTTGCTTGAGCCTGTCATGTCACGTATAGTACGTTTATAGGCCAGTTCGAGCATGGGTAGGCCGGTCTAGTACAACCAGCAGGTTTGGGGAATGCCCTCACCTAAAGTAACCTAGCAACCACCTGGAACAGGACCTGCAAGAGTGAAAAAGAGCTGTCTAGATGTGTCACGTGGGGGAGCTCTTCATCTGTATGCACTAAGTAGAAGTATGTGAATTGCAGTTCGCAGAGCTTCGTGGAGTTCTTCGGGGTTCGTGCTAACCCTGTGGGGTTCGTAGATGATTTAGGGGATTCGTGGAAGACTTCTTGTGCGATTGCCCGAGGGTTCGTACTAACCCTTATTGCGGGGTTCGTAGAAGGGGTTTGGGTTCGCAGAAGGCAGTGTGAATACCGGATTGTTTGGGTACCCCTTTGGTTTAAACATAAGGATCATAATGGCGGTGTCTAGTACATCAACAGCCTAAAGAAAAGCAACTCCATGCCACCCCAGGTGGAGCCCAATCCGAAGCTTTGCTCAGCGCAGTGTCCATGACCCGAAGCAGCCTCTTGGGTGGTGTAGCGGGAAAGCACCGTGTTGCGGGAGCCTGGAAAGCACAGGATATGGAAGACCGTGCCGTGTATTTGAGATCCGGGAGGCCCTCTGGCCCAATGGGAGACCCTCTGGCCCGGGTTGACTGGTCTATTTCTGGTCTTCCAGGGGGTTGTTGCCTGGGAGGACTCCTATGGTCCCATACACATCCACCAAACCATGGGGAGGTTGCCCTCCTTAGTAGTTGATTCTGTTCAATTGCAATGTCAAAAGTAGCATGTTTTTTGGATTTTTGGCCCTGGCACGTTTGGGAGTCTCCCGAGCGATTGTTAACATATTCTGTAATCTCAACTGGACTTGTTGTCACAGAGGAATCCGTGTTCTTTCGCACTTCCTTTGGTTCCAAGATCCAGGCTTGTCCATGAAGACGAGGACCGTGGCATTGCATGGAAGTGGAAAGGTGCTTGTTTGTCTTCAGAAAATGGTCATGCAAGGGGCCATAGCGGCCATGGCATCCACTTCCCTGATTAATTCAAGGAGTGTACCCGGTACCCTGAAGAATTTGGGAGAGCCTTGCTTTCATGGTTCCAAAAAGGTGTGAGACCCGGTGCTCATCACTTCGATATGGGATGGGAGAATCTCATATACACATGGAAGAGTTGATGCGTGTCACTTTGTTCCAGCCAGTCTGAAATGTGTCCGACTTTGTTCCGGTGAAAAACAAGCAGTCAGTCATTCTGATCATATGCTCACTTTGATCCTCTAGGGCCTTTAGGGAGACCATTGGTCCCATTTGAGATCAACGCCCTCACACCCATTACCGAGGTGATGAGATCAGCGTGGGTGTGGGCCTTGGCTCTCACGTGCAAGTGACATCCTGGTGACAGGACGAAATCATGGAAATCAGTGAATTTGTTTGCTGTTCTCTCTCTATCTATCTCTCTCTCTCTCTCTGGCTTGGTGTATTTCCATGCAATTATTTCCAATTTTGTTTAGTCCTGCAGCTATCTACAGCCTGAGCATCTATATTTGGGTGTGCAGGGGACCCCACCAACGACACAAAAGCGGTTCCTCGAGGAAAGAACTGATGAAACCTGGCGATCTATATGGGCTCCAACAACCTGCGAACTTGTAGCACCCTTGGCCCTCAACGAAGAGGACGTCACTTCCTCCAGCCCTCCTTCAGAAGTCCTTCGAGAACCGTGCCCGCGATCGTGCCAGTCCAAAGATTTACATCATCTGCGGGCGGGTTCTTTCTTCAGCTATCCTCTTGGAAGAAAAACACCACGAGGTTTTCTTTGGAGAGCAGCCAGCGCAGAGCGAGCGCAGAGCGAGCGCAGACCAACCATCGTTTGTCGGATTTCGGGGTGTCCCGTTGCCCAACCAGGCCCCATCCAAAACGGGCCTTGGGAGGTTGGGGATATACACACAGTGAAGTCCAACCACCTCAAGGAGCACCTGGGTGGTCCTGCACGTTTCTTGAAGGGCTATAGCCAGTCTCGGTGTCGGTCCTTGAACTCTCCAAAGCTTCAGATTTTGTGACGGTGGCAAGTGGATCGTTTGAGATTGTTTATTATTTGTTTTCAATGTTGTTTGCATCCTTACCATCCAAGTCTGACACATTTTGTCTTTGAGCCCAATATCCAAGTCAGCTCTGTGACACAGCCCATGCATCGCTTGCAGGCGGCAGTGCCGAGGGTGAAGTTCTGCAGCGAGGCACCTGGCCTTGCTGATTGAGTTCATTGAGCACCCTCCCCACCTTGAGCTCAACCAGACCGACCATCCTAGAGGGCAACCGACCATCCTAGAGGCCATGGCACAAAAGCTCACATGCAACCGAACGATTTTTGGAGAGTGAGCTTGATTTGCTTGCTTGGAATGGTCAGGATATGTCAGGATTGTTCTAGATGGAGAGGATTGAGGGGATGGGAAGATTTCTTCATATGTTTCATTGTCCTTCTCCAACCAGTGGAGAGATCCAATCATTTGATGCCTCGCCACTGTTTTGCGTCGACCGGTTGGTTCATGAGTAGGGCCGGCTGGTGGCTAGGGGCCGATGGTCGGCCATTCTTAGATGAGAACCCTGCAGGAAGAATCCCTGCTCTTCACCCAGCCGGTGGGGTTCAACATGTTGCCAGCCATTTGATGTAAGAAACACAGTGATACATCATGATATGCAAGACATCCTCTTGCTGACTTAGCTGTGACTAAACATTTGGGATTGGTTTTTGCGGCACGTCACGATGCGGGTCAAAACGCTAGACATAGGAAGGTTGCCATAGCAGAGACTGCTGGAAGTCGTGGCTGTGATAGTTGCCATTTGCAAGAACAAGGTGTGTCAAGACCAGAGAGAAGACCCCAAGTTAGGGCAGTGGAAAGCAGACTTACCGTCAAACCAAAAGTTCAAGGGGGGGCTTGTTCTGCTGCCCACGACGGGCTCCACAGACGGGGTCCGCGCCGACGATTCCTCTACTTGCTTTGCACCTTTGTGTTGCAAAGCAAGTACCCTCCCCGAAACAAACATGGAAGTGGACAACCACCTGTTTGTAGAGGAAAGTTCCAGGAGGCCGTTCTCCACTGCCATGATTGCTGGAGCACTTGTTGTTTTCCTTCCCGGACTTGAACTCCTGGGGTTGTTCCACGAGGGCGCCGAGATTACCTCTTTAAGTGCAAGTGAATCGGGCTTTGGTCTAAAATCCTTCATCAACCAGGCGGGTCAGACCCCCACCACCAGATGCAACATAGACATAGTCTTCAAATACGAACATCCATCCGCCTCAGTCAATAAAGATAAACTATACTTGAAACATGTTAAAACAGCATCATGGACAAAGATGCAATTCAGGTTCCACACGCTCATTCATTTGAGCAAGTGGTATGACACATGTTGTTGCTTCGCACTGCGCTAGCCAAACGGCAGATTGCGCAACAGCCGAATGTGCAAAACGGTTCCTGGAGGGTTTGCTAGCACAGCCTGGCTGTACTCCAGGTGTGTTACACTCTCTGGACCGCTTGCCGGTCGCTGAGTGGAACTCTCAGAATTCAGACTATTCGGACGTCGGGGTGCCGATGTTGGCGGTCAGGTGACCTGGTGCAGGTGCTGCCTTTTGGTGCGATTGACCAGGTTGTGTAATCAGGTTGTGCAGGGGGGCCAGCTGATTTGGGTGAATTGTGTAGATTGGGATCACCATTCTCAGGAGCGAACAGCTCGGATCCGGGATGATCCGGGCGTATCCATATTCCCCAATATACATGGAGCCGTTGAGAGCGGCTTTTGGGAGTTCCCAACCCCTTGATCGAGAAGGAATAGGACTGATATATACATATATATATAAGACCGACCCCCAAATAATTAGATAGAAAAGTAATGAACATAAATCCCCAGTAAAAATGTATTGGAAACCTTGTTTATTTGGGGACCACTATAGGCTGTGCACATCCATGGGTGGAATCGGGAGGACCCGCTGGCAACCGCTGGGGGGTGGTTGCGTCATCGTTGCGGAATTCTACCGGAAGCTCCCTGCAATACGGTTCAATACACAAAAACATTGAAACACATTGTGGCTCAAACAAATAACTCTAATTATCTATATGCCAGTGGTTTGGGGGATTCTTGGATGATATGCCCCTTGTTTTCTTCAACCCTTCGCCTCAGGCGCTTCGCGGTCTGCGGCGTCGTGGCTGCCCGGGCTGTGAAAGTCTTTGGATCTCGGACCACGCAGGACGGGGCTTCGACCCGCCGGCGACCAGTGGATAAGGTGGATGAAATGGTTACGGGGAGGATGAAGTGAATCAACCTATAAGTAGCTTCTTGTGGAGTTGGTATCGTAGCGGCCTCCAACCGAATATAGCTTCTGGCTGCAGTCATAAACGTGGCCCCTTGGCAGGGACGGTGAAGGTAGCGGTTTTTGCGGTGAGTGGCAGTGGAGGCGACTCTTGGGACCCAAGTCCTTTGAAAGACCCGGATGGGAGGGGAAATAGTTATGGGTTGATACCCATAGGATATGGTTACCTAATGTTACCTAGCATATATACCTATGCAGCTTTTCTGAATTTTCAAGAGTGTGTTTTCAAGGTGCTGTTCCGATTTTGTGTTGGAAACGTCCACCGAAGGCTGCCGTTTTGGTATAGTTGGAAGATCCACGCGTGGCGCTCGTCCCTCAACTGGCCTTTGTTCACGCGTCGAGCCGGAAGAAATCCACGAAAGTGCGTGGAAATTTGTGCCTCCTTTGCTGTCATTTGTGGCATTTGGTGGCCTCCCTCCGCGAGGAATAAGGGAGATGAAGGATCAAAAGCACCCACCCTTTGGCCGGTCCAGCACCACCGCCACGCCTGGACCGGATGTGTCACCCCGGACGGTGGGACTGTGTTGACTCGGTTTCAGGTATCGGAGACCTCGTGGGATCTCATGCGGATGCGCATCGGAGACCTCGGTTTGACCATTCCTGGGGTGAGCGACCAAGCACATTTGGGCACCCTCTGAAAGAAAGTAATTGGAAAGCAAGAGCCAGTTAAAGTATGTTAAAAGTTACATGTGTTTAGATGTGCCCGTGGGCGCCATGGCCTATGTCCACCCATGTCTTTTTTTGCTTGGCTCCATGAAGGATTATGTTTTCTTCAGGTTTCTGGAGGCATGGAGGTAGAGATCCCCGAAGATTTCTTGCTTTGGCCTCCACATGCGTTTGCGTCCTGCAGGACAATCGCGAATCATGGCAATTCGACTGCCAGTCAAGCGACAGTGGACACACGGGGCGCTGGGATATTCACAGGTGGAACCTACCCAGTGAGTGGATAACCTTCAACGTTTTTTTGGGGATGGGTTTCCCAGTATATAAGTATGAACAGATGGAAAACATTGGAAAGCGGTTCAACTTTTTTTCCATCAAAAGGTCTTGCAAAAAGATCAAAAAGCCAAGGCTTTGGAGTTTCATGTCGTTCCCTGGGGATCTGACGTCTCTTAAACTGCGAGTCATACCGGGCCGTGATGTCATTAGATGCTCAACGAACACGGACGGACTGGTTTCCCCTTCTAAATCCTTCAAGATTCTTGCTACCATAGTACTGAGACGTACTGAGGCTTTTGGGAACACCACCAGTACATGGGTTTCTGCGCCCACGTGGCGCCGCTGATCAGATCAAGTGTCAACTCCAATTTCCCTGAGAGTTCAGGAACCTGATGAAAATGACTATGAAACCCTCAGTTGTGGGCAGTGGTGGATTCTGATCGAGTGGGGTGACGCAGGTGAGGTAATGAGTCAGTGGAAGTTCTGAGCATGTTCAAATGATTGTAGGTCTATTTAGCTCATCACCATCCACTGCTATGTTCGGCAGAGGCCCTGCTCTTGAGCATATTCATCCACCGTTGCATTTCGCTTGGCTCACTCACCAGTGTGCTTTAGCCCGATCATTTCGTTCTAGAGTGTCCATGTGGTCATTCATGCGTGAAGATGGATCAACATGCCCTCTTTCAAGAGACCGACATGGACATGGCAAGGGGTTGACCACCGAACCAGGAACAGAATAGACATGAATAGACCATTGGGGAGGTCAACCTGCCCAAATCAACCGGGCGCACTGATGGGTGCTGCGCGTCGAACCTTCTCCATCCTCCATCGCTGCATCGAACCTTCGATCCGCCCAGGTGGTCAGACCTCCGGGAAGAGTTGCTCTCGCACGTGGGGCGCTTCAAGTGGTTGGGTCAGAGCAGCCAGAGCAGTCAGAGCGTGTAGCTACAAGGTGGGATTGGTTGCTTACTGGGCGTAGCTGGTGGATGTAGCACTCCTTTTTTGCAGTTCTCGACCTTGTGAAATCCCAGATGACGCCGCAAACGGCCCAACTGGGCCAGGCTTCGAAAGGGGTCAGCCGCTCGATTTTTCGAAGCCTGTCAGCTGGGGCGCCGGAAGTGCTTTGGTCTAACCTCTTCTAACCGATGGCACCCAAGGCTCGGTGCTTGGGGGGGTGACTCCATCGTGGGCTATCGAGAGCACGTCTCCATCACCGACGAGGCGCCGGCGATCGCCGGAGGCGATGGACCGCATTTGGGCACAACCGATGAAACATGGACCGCGGGCATGGAAGAGGGGTGAAGTTGGGTGAAACATGTACAATATTGTATATACTCTCGACCAGTGACAAAGGAGTTGTAAAACGTATGGTGGGTTTACAACTCCTTTGTCATGGGTCTTAAAGCATTTTTGGGCAATGTACACAATTCCTATGTCATGGACTTTAAAGTAGAGAAACACATCAAAACATGGTCACACAAGAATAGCTTAAAACAGAAAGCTGCCGGAAAAGATGAATAAATGACGTGAGATAGGAGTTGTAAGTACCAGGAGGCATGATGAAACATGATGAGCAGGCCGATTCTTATGTCAATTGTTCTGTGTGCATCAATTCCCCTCCCTCCCTGAAAAAAAAATAAAATAAAATGCTTGATCATCAGCTGGCGACAATTCCCAAGTCATGAGGCTTGAATCAGCAACTCTGCAATTTGTGTGTTCCCAATGACTTAGGAGTAGTGGGCCACAACTACTATGTCACTGGCCCACACAAGTCCTAAGTCACCGGTCGGTAGTATATATATAGAGTATAACTATTAGTTATATATATATATGTATTTATATTATATATACTTCATCATTACTTCATTGTCTTCACTTGTTGTTTACGCATGCTCCGATGGCTTGCGATGGGCTGGTGCCAATTCTCACCCCGCAATATCCCACCTTGCCTGTGTACACCTGTCCGCCTTGCGCTGCACGGATGGTTTTCGGTGCGGAGAGTGGGGACACTTCCTCGCTGCAGAGGTCATCACCCTGTCCGTGATGGGCACTGCTTTACGACATTTGGGCTCAGGGGCCTCCAATCTTCCAGAGCCTTGGACTGTATGCCGCCATAGATTCCATAGATGCCGGCACCAGGAGTTTCAAAGGTTGTGTGTTTTAAGACTCAGTCGCTCAGTGAGTGGATGAGCTGGGGCACCCCCTACCAGCCCCAATCCGACCATCGGAGGTTGCGGAGGACCGCCATGACCAATCTGACAGTAAGGTCCTGGTCCTGTCAGAGACACCGTTGTCCGCGTGCCCAGGCGTGTGCAAGTTTGCACATCTTTACCATCATAGTGATATAATCACACATAATCACCATTATCAATGCCATCGTCATAGTTATCACCGACATCACCACAACATACCACTACCATTATTTTTATCTTATATATAATAGTAGTGTATAATATGTAATGTAGTATAGTGCTATATACTAGTGCTATAATTTTGCTCATCATGGCCATCATCGTCGTTTTCACTCATTTTCAATGCCATCACCACCGGACTCATGCCGACATATGAGTAGCAATCATACCCTAAATAAAGCTGCAGTAACTGTTTTTTACCCTTGGACCTAGATATCCCAAATCCACCCTTTAAAAGAATGTCTTGAGAAAAGCTCCTGCCTCGAGAGAAAGCAAACAGCATAGCACAGCAAGCACAGCAACCCACCACCACCACCAACCAATACCAAATCCTTTCTTCTATAAATTCCTTTCTCCTATGCTAAGGGAAATGCTACCACTACTTAACACTGTTAAGTCTATTTGAGGTATGCGAAAGGGGACGGGGGGCCCTATGTACTAATCAGATGTGGACACTAGAGGCTTTGTAACAGGACACGTGGTGGAATAATCGAAATGTCGCTGTGCCAAATCGAAGCGCAAGTGCATCCAGCAAGTGGCTGCAAGAGGGTGTTCCCCATTGTTTGTGGGGCGTGTAAAGGGGGGGGCATACCGTTTGGATGCATTTGTTCGGAAGTTTGCGCACCTCCGTGTTCAATTCAGAGAAGTAAAGAACAACAATTAATCACAAAGCCCAGGCACGTGCTCGACGGTCACCCTGACTGCGTCACATCAGTACCATAGGTTCATCCGCATCACCATCATTATCGTCGTCATTATCATCACCACCATTGGCATCCGCATGGTAAATGATGGTGTTGAAGAAGATGATGATGATGATAACGTGGAAAAAAAGGGACATGAGACGATGGTGATGAGTATGTTTATGATGTTGATGACGATGGTTGTAGCAATCATTAAGTTGATGATGATGGTGACGGTGATGATGTTGTTGTTGATAACTCTGAAGAGGGTCATCATGATGGGGTATTAACGTGATCATCACCATCACCATTTCTGTCAATATCATCGTCAATTCATTTGTCATGATTTAGACCGTCATCACCTATCATTATTGAACAACGTCATCATCACCAGCATGGCCTGTGAACCGTGGTGTGCTCGTGTGCCCTTGTGCACGTGAACTCATTGCCGTCAACATCTTAATTACCAATATGTGTTTCCATATTCTCAGCACCATCACCATCAACATCATTATGAATATCATCATCTTCACCACCATTTCCATTGACATCATCGCTGCCAAAATCTCACCACCCCCCCCCCCCCCCCCCCCCCCCCCCCCCCCCACAACAACATCAACAACAACAACCACCACCACCACCACGCTTCAAATGGTCCCACCACCATCGGCAGAAACATTGCCATCGTTTTGTCTACATTTTGTCCGAGTGCCCGCGGATGATTCTGACTCTGTCCGTTTGCCTCGTGGGCCCTGAGGAGGCAAATCTCACACACTGAGCTCACCCCCTCGTATATATGGGTGTTTCGTGGCTTCACGGTGCCAATAATGAGCCTTGGATCCAGGAGTTCTGATGGAGCTGTAACATGCTGTAGCCCACGTGGCATGCATGAAGGACTCGGAGGGCATGGCTTCACGGTCGGACGGGAGACAAAAAGTCCCACGGTCGGACCACGTTCAGTTCATCACCTGAGGTGTTTAGGGAGTTAGTCAGTCGAGAATCCGCAACCTAAGCAAGTCCATTGAAGTTCTTGTCCAAGTCAGTTAGGCTGAATCTTAGCGTTGGAATCAGCAAACCCATTGGCTGGAGGACCTCTCAGTGATTTCCGTAAACATTTCAGACCAATCCGGATGTGTCCTTTTACCCGTAGCAGTCGCTGAGCAGGGCCTCACGATGAAAAGAGAAAGGTTTTTACTAACCATCATCGTCCACTGGCAAAAGGACATAGTTATATATATATATACGGTATTGTAGTCAGTTTAAGATCGCGGCATGTAAGGATTTGGCGAGGGACGGTTTCCACCCCTTGGATATTCACAGAACACATAATAACTTGGTCGAATCAGTTTCGCCGAGGATTGTAGCCTGGCGCATGCCTCTGAAAGTTGGGGCCCGAGGGCAGAGGGTGATGAGGGATCAATTCCACTCTTGATCAATAAGACCTCCCCATTTGGATTGTAGAATTGTAGAACATCTTCATACGAAATCATATAATATGTATTTTATATGTATATTTTTTTTTGGTAATCAAGAGTCTACATGAGCCTGTGTTTTGGCCAGTTGTTTGGAGCCTGTTCTAGTTGTTCTAGTCATGTCTAGTGAACATCCCGCCAAATCAGTCAAGAACCGGCGATTGGGTAGATGTGAATAGGAACGTCCATGGATTTACACGTCCGAAACCTAGCATGGACCCTGAGAATGGCACCCTGAAAGACTGTATTAATCTTCTTCTACTCTACAAACCGGTGGTTTTCACGGTGCATGTTAGTTTTCCACGGGGTATATCAACACGGCTTAGTGAGGAGAACTACCCTTTGGAAGCTGTTCACCCACAGTGGTTAGGTACTGCTGGCTAAGTCTTCCACCTCGTCTCAGGAGGTAATCTTGGGAAGCCGACTTGTACGTGTTACGTGCAGTGCTGCTGATGTGAGGCCAGCACATCACAGCAGGCACACGCCAAAACAACAAATTGAAGCATCTTGAACAGGAAACACTTGGGGACTTAGGGCCTGAATCTGTTAGAGTTGCCATTTGGTGGAAAACACCGGAATTGCTGGCGTTGTCAGGTGCGTCATGATCGGTGGCCGCTTGGGATCTGTGGAGTTAAACGCCGAGGTTTCCACGGTTTCTGGAGCGTTCCATCCGCGACGCGTCTGGATGGCGCGATCCCACTGTCACCTTGGCAGCTCGCGGTGAGTGTGCCTGTACAGGCATTGGCCAGCGTGTCCTAGTTCTGTTAGGCCTAGGTTTTGGGTGCAAACTTCATCACTGAATCTAACTGGCATGCATCTCCGCCCTCTCACGGGTAGTCCAAATTGGTTGCTTCCGCGTAAACACCAACGCCGTAATTGCGTCCTTTGGATCATTGGGGTGATTTTGTCTTGAACATGTCCTGCCTGCTGCATCCTCATTGCTTTCTTTGCTTGTGTTTGAGACGAGGGTGATGACATGCACCCCCAACAGTCATGGAAGTGTCAACGGCCTGTTACACTTCCATGTTTGCTGGATGGAGGGAATTTGGTTGGTGTTATCATGTGCTATCTACTACATGCATCCACTTGAAATTGCTGCTGCATGAACATTGCAGTCTCCAGGCTGGCGAGTTCGACAGTTTGGTTCGACAGTTTGTTAGAGAGCATGTTCTTTGCAAAGGTCGAGATGATGCAGGGCGCCTCTCCAAATGTGCAATGCAGGGCCCCCAGATTTGTTTGGGACACTCATTCCATACGCTATGTAATATATGTGTCCATCTTTGACGAGTAGTGGCTGTGGTTTGACAAACGTGCCTGTGAACTGCAGGACTCCTTACTTAGAACACCGTGACAATTGTTGATATGCCCATTTCTAATTCAAGCCATTTCAAATGATCCGCCTCCTTCACCCAACCTCGCTTCTGCCACTGCCACTGCCGGCCCCGTGTGACACGGGAACCGTCTTCTCCGACGTCGGCCACCGGAACCATCCGATCCGATCCGATGGACTGATGGAGCCTAGTAGCGTCCTTGCTCCCAGTAGCGCTTGCCAGGAGCCCCTAGTAGCTTCTTGCTCCTAGTAGCAAGGCCAGGAG